TGAAAAACTGTGGTCCATAGAAATGTTAAAGAAAAAAAAAAGGTAAACCACCACTGACATACAAAACAGACACCAGCCCGCATAGGAATATGGCTCATTTTTCTACATGAGCTGTTGTGAACCAGTCCTTTAGGTCAATCTGCATATAAAGTTAGGTACTTCAGTATCTAATGCTGTTATTGTCATGCAGAGGTAACTTTACCTCTGCTTACTCTGCATATACATGTTAATTTTTTTTATCTTGTGCTCAGTTTGAATAACTCAGGCATGAGGCAGATTTATTGTAATGTGGCAAAAAATAATGGAAATAGACATAGCATGTTTCTCAAAATAACTCATCAGATTCCTCGTTTCATTTTAAAACTGAACTCCAGTTATCTTTTTAGGCAGTTAGAAGTTTTTTTTTTTTGGGGGGGGGGGGAATCCCTATATAAATGAATGCAGAACACAAGCCATTATATATTTAACCATAGTCAGAAAACATAGAAAGGGAAAACTAAGTAGTCCAGAGGGTATTGTGGGGTGGGTGGTGAGAACTGTGCAGCAGAAGAGTGTAGATAGTACGACAGCAGGAAGAGCAGTTAATCTTTTGACTAGGTGTTAGTGTTTACTGATCTTTAGATTTCTTGAAAAAAATAAAAAATAAATATGGTCATAGCCATAATTGTGAATGGCAAGAGTTGAAGCAGGTTATTCTGGCAGCACTGTATCAGTAGACTATTAACATACTTTGGGTGGGATCTCACAAAGGAAATATCAATATGTGTGTTCTGGAGGGGGGATCTCAGAGGGGAAAGACCAATGTGTGTGTTCTGGAGGTGGGATCTCTCAGGGGAAAGACTAATTTGTGTGTCCTGCAGGTGGGATCTCACAGGGGAAAGACTAATGTATGTGTCCTGGAGGTGGTATCTCACAAGGGCAATACCAATGTGTGTGTTCTGGAAGTGGGATCTCACAGGGGAAAGACCAATGTCTGTGTTCTGGAGGTGGGATCTGACAGTGGGATAGACCAATGTGTGTTTTCTGGAAGTGGGCTCTCACAGGGGAAAGACCAATTTGTGTGTTCTGGAGGTGGGATCTCACAGGGGAAAGACCAGTGTGTGTGTTCTGGAGGTGGGATCTCACAGGAGAAAGAAACATCTGTGTGATGTTACTGGGTAAGGACACAGTGGGAAAGTGAAAAAGTATAACTTATGAATTCTATAGTATAGGATTTAATAAACCAGAAGGGACCAAATAAGACAACTTTATTGTTAGGGTTTACATACACTTTAATAGCCCAGCAAAGTTAATGCACTATTTTATAATATTATTTTCGTGGTATATTGTTCTTGCCAATTATAGCTTAATAAAATGCCCATAAATATTTTAAGAAATAATAAAACAGCATGAAGATCCAATCCTAAAAAGAGCTAAATACAACCCAAGTAAAAATAAATGTATACATATATCATAAAAACATCATAAATCCTGTCTTCCATATACAGTATAAGCCATACAAGTGTTCAGTTTATTAACACAGTACTAACTTTGAAAACTTTTAAAGTTTATAAAAACATTTCTAGTATTAGGGACTCCAGACTCCATTCTGTGAGAGTCTGCTTCTTAACCGGTCATGGTACTTTTACTAAGAAAACGTGATTAGATGAGAGGGGGCACAAAGCACTGCACATTGCATTTATTGTGCCAGACAGGTTAGGAATTTCTGCTCTAGAGTGCTGAAATCTATTCAGTGTTAAATGACTTGTAACCCAAAAACATATTTGCCTTCAAATGGATCATCTTATCATTCTACATGTTATTGGTGTTACAGACCCAACCAGGACAGGGTCTTTTGGAGGAAACTGCAGGTTAGTCTCTTGCCTACTGACTATGGGCCCTGGCGTTTGAGGGGACTCTATTCTTTGGGACGTGTGTGTAATTAGTGGTCCTTTTTGGAGTAGTTTTACTTTGGAGTCAAATCCATATCTCCCCAAAACACACAGACTCTGAGAACTGGACGACCAGGATACAGATTTGGGGTCTCTGTGCCCAAACCAGTTTTGACTGCTTCAACCCCCCTTCTAGGCTCAGAGACTCTAAGCAGATGTTAATATAATCAGCTCAAAACAACCTAATGCTGAGGTCTCTTGCTGTAATCTGCTTAGTAAGGTGTGATGTGTTTACCGTTGTGTGTTTGTTCCATTGTTAATTGAGTCACCTATTGTCTCTGTCTGTTGGCTGGAACTCATTGAGGTTCCTACATGATGGGATTCGTCTTGTGTCAACCTGACCTCCTTACCTAATCAGTGTGGGATGTTTATCCCAATGTGTAATGTTTGTTTTTATTGTTCATGCAGGGACTGCACCTGTTTATGAAGTGTGTAAAAACCTGTATTTGTACTGTTCCAGTTGTACCTAAGCTAGTGTTGTCTAGTTCTTGGGTACAATGCACAACTATTATACCTTGTTCCTGTGTGTCAGCGGTGAGGAAGCAGTTCTTTGACAGATACCGTCAGGTGACTCAATAGTAAGAGCCACTGTTAGACACAGCAGAAGGCCTGGGTTTGGATCTGAATCCTGATATGGATTTGGTGTGGTGTTAAGTCGATCAGCTCCTGAGACCCATTCCACTATATTTATTACCACATACTTGAGACTGTGTTTGAATGGGAAAAATTCTGATGAAGCATTGGCATTAGTTGCAATCTGATGTGGAAATGGCCAAATTTAGAAATACCTAGTGATCCTGCCAGCATCTTCCTATTATGCGTAATGGTAGAAAATGGTAATGATCAATGTGGTAATGTTATCAGTCTGCCTGTACACAGCATCCTTGCAGTCAGCCTACTACATTATGGCCAACCTTACTTCCTGACCCAATCAAAATTATTCTCACAGCCCTTGGAGATCTAAACTGAGGTAGGATTTTTACACACTTTTTTAAAAAGTAAATTTGAACATTTGTAACCATCTCACTTGTTAGTTTCTGGACTGTGTTTAAATAAGTTGTAATACACCTTGCACATCATTGTTGCAGTTGCATGTCTTATTAAATAAGCCTGAGTGATTTACATGGTAGGTAACAGTGCTCCGAGAGGTAAAAGCAGCAAAGACTGAGTATTACAACATACATTATTAGTAACATATATTGACAGTACTGTGAAACTTCTGGATGATTTGCATTTGGTGTATTGGGAAATGGAGAATTCACAGTGCTGTCTTCCTGAAAGCTATAATGCCAAAACTTCATGTTCTTCCAACTGGGAACACACATGCATTATGACTGCTGAGGAAGTGTGTTTTCCAAAGAGTTTCATTTATAACTGACATGTTTTGAAGTAAATACAAGGGAAAGCAATGTAAAAAGATCTCCTCTGTTTCCATAAGTGTGTCAGTATTTTGCCCTGTTTTTCCTTTATACAGTGTGAAAAAAATTCCTGCTGTATGTGGTTTTAATGTCGCCTGCTTATGAGCCATGTCAAATGTAAAAGCTTGTATCAGGATTCCCACATCGGACACAGATGCTTTGCAGAAAGGTCTGCATGCCAGCATTCAGAGGAACTCTAAGCTGTTTGAATTACATAGATTTTCCTGCAGCATCTTGTGAGGCAAAACATACTTAAAAACTAAATGCAAATTCATTTTTAAACATTACAAAGACTATCCCTTGCTCTACAAGCCATGTTTCTGTTCTGTCTGCAGTTCATGGGTTATTTCATCCACAACTGATAGTCACATTTTGTGTAGAGGATATTTCTTGCATTAGTTTGGAACTTTAGTGCTGCACTTGATTCTTCACCCACTTACCATAGTCATTCCACATTCTTCTCCCTGCAGAACCTTATCAAATTTTAGACTGTAGCAGTAGAAGCATTGACGGTATATTTATTCTGAAAGTGGAGAATAAGACTTCATGTTTGAGGGCAGGGCTCAGTCCCTGGCACAAAGATTATGCCACTAGATTCCGAAGAGTTACTGTACAAGAGAATGGTTGATTTAGCTCACCAGTGGTGATGAGAGAATCACATTGCCTGAATTAAGTTTTGACTTGAATGGGGTCAATTTGGGATCACTGAATGCCATGGATGACCATACCATAGGGTAGACTGATCCTGTCAAGTAGTGTACTGTTAAAGGAGCGATAGGCAAGATCTAATAAGGATTACTTGACATGTGATCAGTTGAGTCTTTGGTCACTGGTGCCAAAATCTCCCGCGCATTCTTTCACGCAATAAAAAAGGAATTTTTGGATTGGGTCACTAAAGTCAGATCCATAGGATACCTTACTAGTTTATATGGCTGGTGGATTGTAAACAACCAGGTTCCACTCATCTTATGAGTCTGTCTCAGTGTGCATACCTCAGTGTGATGTGAACGTAGGGTGGTTATTATGAATTACCACTGTACTCCAATCTACTGCCCAACTGTGGACCTGGAACCTATCTGGGGGTGTAGATTTTGCCTTTTAAGCTGTAACACTGTAAAGAAATTACAAACTTGGACTTAAGGTAACACAGACACTTTTCTACATAAGTCATTAATGGCCACCAGTACATGCAGAGACAGTGCATCTCTCCAAGTAGGGACACTGACATCATTGAAAACATGACAGGGGTTTTAACCTCTCACCACTATCCAAAACAAAGAAAAAATATTTTTGCTGTTAAATACATCTTAATAGTCTTAATTTAGTGCATATACAGGTACATCACAATAAATTAGAATATTATCAAAAAACTGAGTTCAGTTCACACAAATGCCCTTCAGTGCTGTGCACTGCAAAGAAGCAGGGCAAGCTCTACTTTTTTCAACGTAGCATGTTGCTATGAACTACACTCCAGATAGCTATGTGTATTGCAGTTAGCCCTACTAAACAAGATCCTAAATGTTTTACAATATTATCTGTTATTCTAGGTGATGTGTTTTTGCATCTGTAACTTGTCAAGTACAGATGCCCTGTTTTTGATTGTTAAATTAATATAACTGAAAATGTTCCTTGCTTTGTCCTTTTTTTTTAGTTATTTGAAATCACAGTCCCGCTGTCTCAAGGACCAGTTAAACCAGTGACAATTAGTTTTGCAAACCATACATCCTGTCGGTGCATGTCTAAATTGGATGTTTACAGACAAGTCCATTCAATTATCAGACGGTCATTGACAGCAACACAAATACAGTAAGTATCAAGAAGATTTTTATTCCATTATATATGTGCTGTTAAGAATATAGATACTTTTTTCAAAATTTGCATTAGGAAAATATGAGGGTGTGCAGAAAGGGTTTAACATTATTTCCCACTTTGCACCAAGAATGTCTAAGACCCAATCCATTGGCACATATAACTTGTGGTCCATATGGTTAATTCTAAACAAAATTAACAATAACCTGTCAGTATAATATCTCTGTGAATGCCATGCAAGTACGCATATATAGCCGTTTACCTATGTTATATAATTATCTGTGCTTTGAGAGCTGTCATTACAAGCTCAATACAGTGCAAACACTGCAGTGTTTACGTTAAGCCTACCTTCAGACTTTGGCAGGGCAGACTGTAGCCAATGGGAGCAGAAATTATTATGTTGTCAGTGGGAAATACCATCACTGGTATCAGGTAAAGAAGAATGCCCCACTATTGGTGGCAGTAGGAGGAATACAGCCACAGATCAGTGTAAAAAATAGTGTCCCAAGAGCCAGCCCATGGGCAGCAGTTTGGAGACCATTTGTCTGGGGCTAGATGATAAAGTGGACAACAGCTCAGAATCTATGGGCAGATTTTTCTTCACGTGACAGCAGGAAATGCGTGTGAAATACTGGGACTATAGAGAGAAATTACAAAACTCTATTTATCATTATAGGTATATTTTATACCTATAGTTGTAACGTTTTATTCCATACCCCTTATTGTTAAACTCTACAATGAATTTGAGACTCTGAGAAAAGGGAATAAGTTAGATAATGAGCACATCATGTGTGCCTAGAGCAGAATAAGCTCTAAATATGGATCTGTGTATATGGCACAGTATATATGGAACTATTAGAATTATGATGGAGTGGTTTACAGAAAGATGCAGTGTATATATCAGTCTGGAAATTATATACAGCATATAGTGTGTGTGTGTATATATATATATATATATATATATATATATATAGAGAGAGAGAGAGAGAGTAGTATATACTGTAGATACTCTATAATATATATATATATATATATATATATATATATATATAGATATATATATTCAGCAATTTTCAAAGTGTGGTGCATTCTCCTAACCTGACTAATGTATATTGTCTATTCTTACATACTATGGGGTTGATTTACTAAAGCTGGAGCATGCAAAATCTGGTGCAACTCTGCATAGAAACCTATCGGCTTTCAGTTTTTTTTTTGTCAAAGTTTAAATTAGAGTTCCATCCGTTTTTGTGTTTATTAAAAGTCAGCAGCTACAAAAACTGTAGCTGCTGACTTTTAGTAAACACACACTCACCTGTCCCAGAGGACAGGTAACAGAATAGACTTTCCTGAACAAAAAAAGTAATTTACTGTTAGAAATGTGTTCAAGAAATAATTTTCTTACTGTCACTTCCAGTTTTACCATCACTGCAGATGCAATTGAACGTCAGTTTGACCACACTTACAATTAGAAAATTAAACCAACATTCTTAAAATGAAAAATTTTAAACAACATTCTACTAGCATATAACCAATATAAGAGTTGGGAGAGAGGGATTCATAAATGTTTTGGTGTTGAAAATACATGTTGCGTCAATTTAGCAGGAACGTTCTGGTATTTTCCAAACACCCATGGAAATATACCTTGCGTTATCATTTCCTAAATACTTTTTTACTATATCTATTTCCTAACAGGCATCATGTTTGAAGGCTAATGGATTGTCTGTTTCACATTGCTAAAACACTGGCAATCGGTCTGTCATGTACTCGCAGCATTCCACATTCCATTGTCCTGACTTGGTTTTATTTATGTTTGGTGTAACGCAGATGGTTCTGTAGAAACATTTTCATTGGCTGCTGGGAACTCCTGACAATGTGCTTCAGTTTATGTTCCAGGGCAGCCCCAGCTTCATGTGTTGAAATCTCAGTAGAGTAGTTCAAATGTTCAGTGGCAAGCTCTTGCTTGTTTGCTAGGTAAAAGTCCTGAACAAAAAAAAACCCTCAGCATTAAATCTGTGCTTTAGTGTTAATGGTTTGTTATAGATTATATAGCTATAACTTGGAAAATAATTATTCAGAAAAGCCATACATTATGGGAAGGCTTTGTACAATAACATATCAGGCTTCACGTTAAGCTCCTCTGTGTCACAAGGTACATATTAGAAGCAGAATTACTGTCTTGGGATCTGCTGCAGCCAATCAAAATCTTTTGTCAGAAACATCTGTGCTGAGTTTAAGATAAATGATACTCATTCAGAGCAATGAGATGTGGGATATTGATTGGGCGGGTAAAGTCTCACACAGCTTCATGAACACGTAATAAATAGGGCCCTTGGGATTTTCTCAAATATCTATATGTATACGAGTAAAAAATGTTTGAGTGTTAACTGATTTGTAATGATTTCCTTTAAAAAAATGTTAGGTAAATATAGAGGCATCCAAGGTACCGCACATCTTGTTGAAAGTTAAATTCAAAACAGTCAAAATGTTGCTTAAAGGATATTTAAACCCAATAAAAATGTAATATATTGTAGTTTACCAATCCTTAGATGTGGTGGCTGAATTTGTTTTCTTTGTTCAAGTTAAGTACATTTTCTGCAAGTTCAGATCAGTTGATCATGTAAGAAATCCAGTGCCCTTGTAACTTCCTGTGCGTTGAGTTGAGATCTCAGCCTTTCCAGTTCTACCTGCCTAGGTTGAAGTAATGCAGGCACCACATCTAAGGTCTGGTAATAAATGTTGTTCATGGGTTTAGATGCACTTTAACCTCCCTAACGGTATTCCCGAGTGTAGCTCGGGGTAAAATGTCTGTACCAAAAGCGGTAACCCCGAGCTACACTCGGGCTTACCATGTGGCGCTGCATAGGGAGTCCCCGCAGCACTTACCTTGTCCTTCGCTCCCGCGATGTATCCCCTGCAGCGTCCCCGGCCATCTCCTCCGGCTTATGCCGGCATCTGGCTCCTGTGTTCCAGTTCCTGTGACGTCAGGACGTACGGGCGCCGCCGCCGGCGGGAAATTTGAAAATTTTTAAAAAAAATTCATTTTTTTCAAAACGATTTTACATAGTAAAACATTGCTGTTTCAACCCATTTCACATACATTTTGTCCCTAGTGCTCTGTCCTGTCCCCTGTCTGCATTTTGAATGTTCTTTCTGAATGGAAACTTAGAAAAATCCATGGCGTCCAAAAAGCGTCCCTTTAGGTCAAAAGCGGGTTTAGATCAGCTAGAGAACAGCGATAGTAAATTAGAATCACTTGCAGAATTGAGTGATAATGATTCGTGGAGAAATTCGTCATCAGACACTGAAAACAATTTTGCGACTTTGCTCAGCGATGTGCGAACTTGGCGCTATATTTCAAATTTCAGTGTTTTTGGTTTGATTATATTATTGAATTAAATGTAATATTATTATATTATTATTTTTTATGATTATTTATTAAATTATAATTTATGATTTTGTGTTTCAAATTTTATCATACCCGGGATGTTTAATAGACTCTTGTTCGGACAGATTTCAGTGAGTTATTCCTAAATATTACAGCCTACAATAAAAAAACTACATATTTCCATTCAAAAAAATGGTGCTTTCAGCACCAAAAATCTAAAATAATCATACAGCTAGGGAGGTTAAAGGAAGCCTGTTCAAAAAGTATATGGAGGTTGCCATTGCAGACCTCTTTTCTGTAAATGCCAGTTGCCTGAGGCCTCTTTCAAAGGGTCTGATCAGATTCACCTGTCAGTTTTTCAGTTTTTACGGTCCATATACACCTATGGACCTGTGGTTGTAAACGGACTTGTGTCTGTTTACACCTGCTTACCTCTCTTCCTTTGTGGCCTGCTAAAAAAAGGCAAAGAGCACCCCTCCTCCTTCTACGTTTAGGTGAATTGGATTGTAGAACAGTCATTGTTTATTCCCTGCCACCCATAGAGCAGAGCAGGCTGTGTCTATGTCTGCTCTGCATAAACTGAATGTACATGAATAGCTCATCTGTCCTCTCTGCTCTAATCAGCAGGGGATCAATGGACAGATGCCCTGCTGATGAAATCAGAGTGCGCTCCATGTGAAGGGGGCCTGAATCTCCTGCTGATCTAATAGTTTCAGCACTTTTTGGAGGCACTGACCTAGAACATGCACAAAGATCAGTGCTTAATTGTGTTTCAAATATGCATGCTTGTTTCAGGGCAGTGATTCAGTAAATACTGAAGCCTGAGGCAGCCAAGCCACCTTCAAAAAGATCTATTTGTTTTAATTAAAAGAAGCAGGATATTGCTTATCAACTAAGAAGCTCTTAAATCACAAACATTAGGTCTACATTTTTGCTTTGGCAGAACAGTTAAAGGAAAACTATAGTTTTCTTAAAAACTGACTTAAAGTAAAACTGTAAGCACAACTTTTTTTTTTTCATTTTGGATAGAGTAAGGTAGGGTTAAAATCCCTGTAAGGATTATTTTTGCCATTTTTGTCCCATTGGGGAGATTTACCTTCATTCCTGTCCTATAGCCAAAATAGGAAGTGAGAGGAAATCCCTTAAGATTAAGGGAATCTCTTGGGGCCCCCAGGTTACCAGAACTAGTGTCCCGAATGGAAGATGTCCACTCTATTACTTTTCTGGGGACAACAAAATCCCAAATGAGAGTGAATCTCCCTAACGGGGACACAGACAACAATAAAAACTGACAGGTGATATAATCCATCTCCACTCTATCCAAAACTTTAAAATGTATCTAAACCAAACATTTTTGATAATGTTTGGATAATGAGGGGTTAGAACACCTGTTAGTATTTTCTGTTGTCTGTGTGCCTGCTGGGGATCTTCATTCTGTCTATTTGTTCTATTGACCACTATCACTGAAACAAAAATTATGGGAAAATCCCAAATGTATTGCCACCAGAGCAGGAATAGAGGGGATATCTTTCAATGTAGACATCTGTCCAAGAGAATTTCTGTTACTTTAGAGCACAGTTGTCAAACTGGCAGCCCTCCAGCTGTTGCCAAACTACAAGTCCCATGAGGCATTGCAAAATTGACAGTTACAAGCATGCCTTTCAAGGGCAGGATCATGATGGGACTTGTAGCTTTGCAACAGCTGGAGGGCCAACAGTTTGACACCCCTGCTTTAGACCTATTTTCTATTTCTTCCTCCTGCGTCTCCTGATACCAAGTCACCTTCAAGTTCTGTACTTACACTTCTTTACACGTAAAAATACACATAAGGAAATATTATTGAATATAGAACTGCATTCATTTATGTCTTTTATATCTGTCTAGAGTTCAGCTTGAGGGCTCATTCATACCATGTGCGGAGACCTGCAGGTCTCTGTCAAAACACATAGAAAGTTATTTTTTTCTGTTTGTCCTGTTCACACCACAACAGAACGAAGAGGTGAGGAGCTAAGAGGTAGGGAAAAATGCAGCCTTTCTTAATTTTCTGCACCGGACCTCGCCTGAAGTTTCATCCATCTCTGCTGCAGTGCATAGATATAAATGAAATGCAATCCACTGCCCCGCAGCCTGTATGGAATTATTATTATTATACAGTATTTATATAGCACCAGAAGGTTTGCTCAGCGCTGTATGGAATAGATTGTTTTAGCATGTGTACTGGGGTGAATAAACCCTTAAAGTAAACCTGTCATAAACCAGCAAGTATGCCCTCTACGACGTTTTTTTTTATTATACACATGCCTAAAATGTTGGGTATTACCTGCAAAAATTAGTGGCAGTTATAATGATATAATATACTGTTTTATTGCTTGGGACTACTTTAATAGACCTTCACTGCTTTCAGTGACAGTAATGTAGTAGTGTTATTTTTAGATGTCAGAAACATCTGTTTAGGAGAAACTTAAGTCAAAATCTGCAAATTTATTATTATTAAATGAAATGAATCCTGCAAGAGTTTGTGTTCTTTTTGAATGACCTGGGGTGTATCTGTTTTTATGACTTGATGGATGACTAGACTTGGTTTTTAGCATTTCAAAAATTGGTAGTAATATGTAGTTTCTCTGCAATTACATCATAATGATTAAATGTACCCACTTAGGACATGTGGAAAGATTTGAATCACACCCAAACCGATTATTTTTTGTAACAAATATGCAGTTTTGTCATCAATAATCAGTTATGGAAAATATGTAGGATTCCAGTTCAGCTGGATTAAAGTGAAACTCTTCTTTTACTAAGAAAAAATAATGTGTTCTCCAGGCTAGTTACATACACTGTAAAGTTTATAAAAACTTCATTGTACGTACTTACCTGCTTCTGTTCTTGCTACTAAGTTCACCCTTGGCAATAATTACTGTAAAGTGAATGCTAAGTGGGAAGGTCAGACTTGTGTATCAGGCCCACTGTTGTATTAGAAGGAATAGTGCATCCCCAGCTATCCTGTAGCCACACAGATCTGTCATACAATGATGACCGTGAAGAAAATGGCAAACCCAGATACTCCTGCTCTTAGGGATGGAATCTGTATGGATAGGACCACATCACAAGTTTCTTGGGATATGCATGCCTTGCTGCCCTCAAAAGTCCAGGGAAGTCCACATATACTGAGTAGAAATAAAAACAAACAGGGCACACCGGCCTAGTGCATTACCTTTAAAAAATGTATTTATTAATGATGAAAGTAGATATTGTACTCACAAAATGACAATACAGTCAAAGGTACATCGTGAAAGAACCGCTTTGTCCAATCCACACACTACGTGTCTATCCATTATGGGAACTCAGGACCTCCAACAGGCTGACGTGTTTCGAGGACTTGCCTCTTCCTCAGAGCCTTTGAATGTAGTGTCATTTTGTGAGTACAATACCTTTCATCATTAATAAATACATTTTTTAAATACAATCATAACCACTGACAGGTAAAGTGATTAACAAGGATTATTTTGTTACAGTGAAACAATACATATTTCCATGCAAAAAAATGTACCGCTTTGAGCACAGAAATATGGACATAATCAGACCTAGGGAGGTTAAAGCACATTGCTTGCCAAGCCGGAAGTTGTACTAAAAGCCCTGCACAGAAAATGGTCAGATAAATCAGTCAGTCACATGAGTAGAGAATGAAATATTTAGAAAACTATAACTAGCTGCCAAATGATAATGAAAGGTAGTGTCTAATAACTTTAAATTATAAAATAATTCCCCTGAAATACCTGGAGCTTACATTACCTACAGCCCCAACCTCCTAATTAAATTTAGTATCCAAAGTTAATTAGCTGAGCGATTCCCAAGGTATATTGATCCTCAGCACACTCTAGAGGATTTGCTCCCACATTAAAAAAAGAAATTAGAATATATCCCTTCACACAACTTATGTTATATTAAAAGTATGTATAATGTTCTATGTCAGTGGTCTCCAAACTGTGGCCCGAGGGCCAGATGTGGCTCTTTTCTTGTCTTCATATGGCCCTTGAAGTACTATTCCTCCAACTGACACCAATGATGGGGCACTATTCCTTCCACTCACACCAATCATGAGGCACTATTCCTCCAACTGGACACCAATGATGGGGCATTATTCCTTCCACTGAACACCAATGATGGGGAATTGTTTACTCCTACTGATGCCAGGGCATTTTCTATTCCCATTGGCCCTGGTACGGCCCCCCTAATGCCTGAAAGACCAGAAACTGGCCCTTTGCTTACAATGTTTGGTGACCCCTGTTCTATGTCCTCATAATAACATGATACAGAAACAAAATCTTCATGACATTATACCGACGTCTCTGTAATGTGTTATTAAAGTATTTTTCTGTATCCTAGAAATACAAAATAACTTGTGTAACATATAGCTTTCTGTTACTCCTGCCAGGAACTCTTATGATTTGGTCATCATTATCTTTATGTCATATTTTAGAAAAGGTGGCTATAGGAGTTGTTATTTTAAAGAGATTTTGTGCTGAAAAAAGAAAATAACATTACAGGTTGGTAGAAGGTACCATAAGGTCAAGTTATGGTAAGGAGAAGTTAGGTCCTGCTTTCCAATTGTAGTGACTTTCCATCTGACAACGTCTGCGTTTGGGGAGCTTTGTAGTTATTGAGTACCACTATGCCTGGTTGTTGCAAAGCATACTGAAAATCATTATACCACATCCAAGGGCAGAAATGGTATTGCATACCTTCTATCGAGAGCATTTGTTAAGTCACTTGTCTACAGTAGTGAACTCTATAATAGAAAACAAAGACAGTCATTTCAACACTTCAGATTATATATTTTGAATCAATAGTACTTGTATATCTAGGGGCAGCAAACATTAATGTTTAGTGAATGAAAATTTCAGGGTGCACTTTTGTTTAAAGCTTTTGCCAGTGTTGAATTGTAATAAGACATTTTCCAATATATGAGTTTTGTTAATTAAAAGCATATATTGTAAATCCTCCAGAAATAAGTACAAGTGAGTTTAGATTAGGGTTTCTCAATCATAGTTCCCCCAGATATTTTTAGGGGTTCTTTGAGCAATGAACAATTTCTGCTACTCAGATAAGTTCCCACTGACACCATTGATATTTTTAGCTCTCTGTAAAGAGAACAATTCTTCTCAATGAGCACAAGTTTAAGGAGCATTCTTTGTACTATTACACTAACATAAATTGCAGATATAGTAATTTTTAGAAGAGGTTTCTTGAGACCAGAAAGTTATTTCAAGGGTTCCTCTGTGTTGAAAGGGTTGAGAGGCTGGTTTAGAAGGCACCAGTAATACATTGGCACACATTATGAGGTAGTTTACATACTTTGACATGTCCATGGAGGTGTTTAAAAACATCTAATAATATAAAATACTTTATAAAAACAATGGGGTTGAGAACCAGTCTGAATCACAGATCCTTTAGCAGAGAGCAGCATCATTCTTGCGAGGGGAGGGAATAGAAGTACAGAGTACAAAATATTGAAAACCTGTAATGTTCAAATTACTTCTGTGAAAGTTTGCTTTTTTCAGATTACTATATGTAACATCATATTTCTTTTTCAGCTGTCAAGTGGCAAACAAAACTTGTCCTAAAAATTATGCATGGCATAACCATTTGTGCAGATGTATAGAACAACATGACTCTGGGTTTTCATTAAATCACGAGGAATCAGGTAAGAGATTCCCACCATGTTGAATACATTAGGAGAGAATGTAATTAATTATTTGCTGTACTGATGATCTTCATTTCCTTCCCTTCTTTCCAGTTGTCATGTTTATACCTTATATATTGTACTTACATCTTGCAGAGTATAGGATAATTAGGCATATTAGAAGGTGGTGATGTAATATCACATTACTGCCCTGTTTTCATTATTATGAATAATGTGTGCAATACAAAAATTTTTTTGTGCTATCAAGATAAGAAAATTACAGCAAAGAAATATGATCCACATTATATTCTCTACATACTGTCTAAGTTTCCCATGCATGATCATCGATCATCCATGTAATTTAAAGAAAAGGCTTGTAATTATCCTGCAGACATTTTATTAGCTCAGATCACAAGCAATATTGCAGGTAAGTTGCAGCATAGATTCTTTTTAATGAGCAGCATCATGATGACATGTTATGTCACTGACCAAATGTTAAAAATTACAATAAAACTCAGTTTTCTAGCGGCTACCCCAAATCAATTAGGAAGGTAAAGCTGGCTACATTTTGTTCATCACCCATACATTTTGCATGGAGGTATCTCATGAAGAGTATATCACATACACTGTATAGCCAAAAGTATTTGGTGCTCCAATTTGAGTTCAACTGTTTCCAGTAAAGAGTACTCCTAAAAAACTACAGCTTACAAAGGGATTTTGGACAAACATATGCTTCCAATTTGAATGTGTGATTACAATTTTAGGAAGGCCCTTGTTTGTTTCAGCATGATTGTGACACACATCTTCTAGAAAGCCTTTTCAGAAGATCAAAGAATGTGATAGTTGCAGAGGTAGTGCGGAGGGAAGGGGCACTGTATATAAATGCGCATGGTTTTGGAAGAGGATGCAACAAGCTTATATGAGTGTGCTGGTCAGTAGTCCACAAACAATGCTATAATATATTATATAATATATTTTAAATCCAATGAAATATGGAGGAACCATTTTGTGCTGTTCAGAGAGTTCAGTTGGAACTATAGTCAATACATTGTCATCAGCTTTTTCAGTGAAAGTAGAAAAACTGTTTAATGAAAAAACAGTGTTCAACACAAGTAATCTGTGTTTAATCATTTATATTTATTTATTTTCACATCAAAAAATGATATAAATTCTGCAGATGCTGAACTAGGTGAAAGCTGAACCTTAAAGTCTAACATTGCAAGGTGATAGTAGATCCTTTGCTCCCTACTGTTGCTCAAAGTCTCTCAAAAACCTAATCCTGCTAGCAGATCATCTAAACCATGTATTGCATCGTGGGAAGTGGCCAGGATCATGCCTATGCTCCCACTGTCAGTAAGTTTACATTTAACAAGGCACTTTGGGAGGACTATGGGTATATCTGTAGGTTTCAGTGTTAAACAAAGCTATGTCTGGCAGCTTGTGTTGCCTTTGATCTTCAAAAAGTGCTTTTTTACCCCATCCCCTCAGTCTGGATGGACCTTGACCTACACTTTCATGTGCACCAATTTAATAGATTTGTGCCTGATTGCATGTTACCCCCTACTTGTGAACTGGAAGGTCATTGCATAGAGGCTTCCTATGCACTGCATGTTTATTACAACATGTACCAGAAATCCAAATGAAGGTGCATTCCTGGGTGCAAGTTAGGAGCAGAGATAGGTAGAAGTGAGGCGCTCTGTTTCTTTGGAGCCTGATTTTATTGACAACTTCTTTATACCTTTCTGGCCTGTTTGACTAATGCAGTAGGCAAAGTTTATTTCATGTTTTAGTTTTCATTTATCTTGTTTTTGCTTGATCTTAGATTCTGGTGAGGAATTTCATGATATTTGTGGACCAAACAAAGAACTAGATGAAGAAACCTGCCAATGCGTTTGCAAAGGTGGATTGTTACCCTCCAGCTGTGGCCCCCATAAAGAACTGGACCGAACATCTTGCCAGTGTGTTTTGCAAAAATAAAACTTCTATCTACTTCCTGTGGGACAAACAAACAATATGATGAAGAGAGATGCCAATGTGTCTGTAAAAAGACCTGTCCAAAACACCAGCCACTGAACCCTATAAAATGTGCCTGTGAATGTGTAGAGACGCCAAACACATGTTTCCTCAGAGGAAAAAGATTCAATCACCAAACATGCAGGTAAGCAGACATGAAGAGTGGTGCAGTATTTGCCATATAATGCACTAAAGAATGCAGTACTTTTAATAATCAATATAACAAAGGATTTTGGACATTTAGCTAAAATGGTAATACATTTTTACAGTAACATGTAACTCATTTTTTTAGTAGAGTAGGCAAATGCTAGAACCTGTCAAAGAAGGGTTATAAAAAATACGCCAAGTAGTTAATGTGGAGAAAACGCTTATAGATGCACCCACTGTCTCGAAACTTCGATTAGTGATCCATCTTAAGGAACAACTTAGAGTCCTTGTGGCTAATTCTGTTGCTCAGCAACTGCTCTGGATGAAACAGACGTTTTATCATTACACTAACAAGCCCCATAGGATGTTAGTTAACAAACTGAAAAACTCCTTCAACACCTACCATGCCTGAATTTTTATTTCAGACAGATGGTACCCCTACCTTCTGTCCTCAGCAAATTGCAGAAGTGTTCGGATAGTATCACCGTAAACTTTACAATTGTCTAGCATCAGACATATACCCCCCTTTCCATAAAGACTCCTTTGACACTTTCATTTCCACCCACTGTCTTCCCAAATTAAAAAAGGAAGATAAATTGGTTTTAAATGCACCCATTACTATGGGAATTATATACTACTTTTAAGGAATTATCATCACATAAATCACCAGGACCAGACGGATTCTCTTAAAACATATTATAAACATTTTATTGCTGTACTAGGCCCCAACCTATTTGAATTTTTCTCCTCTTTATTTAAAGAAGATGTCCCCCACTCACCATTCCATCATTCATATATTTACGGTCATTCCTAAGCCGGGGAAAAACTTAACATCTCCAGCCAATTACCGACCAATTGCACTATTAAACACGGATTACAAAATTTGTACGAAAATTTTAGCAAATCGTTTAGCCCCTTTATTACCCAGATTTATCCACAATGACCAGGTGGGCTTTATTCTGGCAAGACAAGCAAGAGATAATATCAGACGTACAATTAATTTGATAGTTGTACTGCAGGGCTCACGAACGCCGGCACTATTATTAAGTTTAGACGCCCAAAAGGTATTTGATTGTTTAGGATGGCCCTACATGTTTGAATTACTATGGCATATGGGAATGCAGGGGCCTTTTTTTAATGTCATACAGGCACTATATTCCAAGCCTACTGCTCAGGTTAAACTCCCTTATGCTACCTCCGCGAACTTCCCCTTGCTAAATGGTACTAGGCAGGGATGCCCTTTGTCCCCGCTTTTCTTTGTATTATGTCTTAAACCATTGGCGGTAGTGATCAGGGTGCATCCAGACATAGCAGGAGTAAATGTGAAGGGGAAAGAAATATAAACTTTCACTTTTTGCAGATGATGTTCTAGCCATAACCAAACCTCATTTATCACTGCCCCCTTTGTATAAACTCTTGCAAGCCTTCGGGGATCTGTAAGGGTATAAAATAAACACTTCAAAGATGGAAGCCATGCCCCTGAATATTCCACCCCCAAGATCTACTATTACTTCAACAAAATTATCCATTTTGCTGGTGCATGTTGGCTATTAAATATCTCAATGTACTCCAACCTACGCCCAGTTATTTAAAACTATTTCCCACTGTTTCAGGAAATTTACACTCTTCTTAAACAATGGGATTTGCATAAGATATCCTTCCTGGGGAGAATAAATGTTTTAAAGATGACTAGCCGAAACTGCTTTATTTTTTTGAGACCCTACCAGTTGCGATCCCCTTCGTCTCAATTGCAGGCCTTGCAACGTGCATTTCTTAGATTTATCTGGCATGCTAATTAACCTAGGATAGCATGGTCAGTTCTCTTAATGCCTAGAGCCTCTGGAGGCCTGGGAGCACCAGATAACTAACTATTACTATTACACCCATCTGAGACAAACATTATCATGGTTCACCCAGAAGCCCCATAATAGATGGTCGGAGATTGAATTAAACTACATACACCCAGTCCCCCTTGATTGCTGCGACCCCATCACTACATAATGCCTCTCCCTCCAATACCTATGTTGCGTGAATCTATGAAATTCACTCTTAAGATTTGGTCAACTTGTTTAAAATCACACCAATTGCTATCTAGATGCTCCCCATTGTTGAACATATTATAATCCAGAGATTCCGGATAGTCTGTCCTATTTGCAGATGCATCCTTGGGCTGATTGTGGAATATTACAGCTTCGTCATCTAATCAGTCCTGCTTCACGTAGGACTCAATCGTGTGAAGAGTTAGAACATGGAAGTCCACAATACCTGTATCGATCAGATACACTTATTTGCAGTTTTGTCACTTCTTCCACTCCCTGAGCTCTTATTTAACATTAAACCTCCCTACAGATTTCAAGAGGATAGCGATTAGAGGTCCCTCCCAACAACACCTTATCACCTCTCTATATAGCTTGCTTTTTAATAGGGAACATATAGCTGAGAAGTCACATCGATATATGAAGAGGTGGGAAGAAGAACTTCAGTGTTCAATTTCTTTAAAGTGTTGGTAGGCGATATGGGATTCTGCTGCCAAGTCCTCTTGCTGTGTTGTATACAAAGAAAATATATATAAGGTGTTGATGCATTGGTAAAAGACCCCGTGGTACTCCATGCAATTAGCCCAAGCTTATCTGATACTGTAGATGCTGGAGATGCATGGATGGAGTGGGTACACTGTCACACATTTTTCTACCCGCGGATTGTGGGATATTGGGTTATGATTCAAAGGGTATTGGAACAAGTACGTGATGCTTAAAATAAGCAAAAGTGAACGAGCGCAACTTAATACAACTTGATGCAGATTTAGAAGAAACAGATAAAATAATATGGAGCTGCTAGCATAAGAGGTATACCTCGGCACCTCAGTAATAAATAAAAATCTAAAAAATGCAGCCCTGCCCCTGACCCACTTCATTATCTTCTGGGCTTACCCTTTAGGGGTATTCCCAAACCGTCTAAACGGTTGGGACTACATATTTTGACAGCTGCAGGAAGGGTGATACCGCGTTTTTGGAAGTCAGTAGATATACCATCACAAGACCATTTCATAGGAGCGATCTCTGAAATAAGGGAAATGGAATATCTTACGGCCTTAGTGGGTGAGCATTTGGGTATTTTCCACTCCATTTGGGGGGCTTGGGATCATTCTCCTTTTAGGAAATTTACTTGATCCCCTCCTTTATCACCTCCTCTCATATAGTCTGGATTCTATATTATATATATCATGCCTTTGACTAATACTGCAATTTACTGAAGTCTGAAGATATGCAGGTTTATAACGTTTCATGATTTTAAAGAATACTGATTGACATGCTGTTTATATATGTTCATGCTTTTCTTGACCTTGTTTATTTCTGAACCGATGATAGACTTCTGTCATTGTGACGTTTATACATGTTGTGTTTTCTGTTGAAATTGTGTCCTGTCTTAAAATTTGTGCTTTGGTCCTTAATAAAAAATTTACAATTAAAAAAAAAAAAATACGCCAAGGACCTCTATAGTCAATATCAAAAATTGGTAGGTACATGTATAGTTGCAATCATACCAAAAGCCAAGCTACTGCTGACTTCACCCTGGAATAAATTGGTGTGGTCACCAAAAACTCATCAACATATTCTAAAACAATCAAGGGTAATAAATTACCCCAAAAGTAGTTTTCTAAAGGGATCATGCAGCTTAATAAAGCATGGCTTTATTGAAAATATAGTTACAAAAAATGACATATATAACAAATTAGCTAAAACCACTATTCAACACCACACTAAAGTTAAAAAAAGACCATGTTCCCTTGTCACCTAGGCAGCTGTTCACTCAACCCACATTCATTCATGAAAGATGGTATTAGATACCCTAAGTAAATAATAATAGCTGGACTACAAGAGGTCTAACAAGGTAATTGGGCAGGTAGTGAGTGGCATTCGAATATGTATGTGTACATCTTCCACTATAATGCATTCTCCAGGTGTGAGTCACTTATGAAGGGATAATGTAAGGCACATCATTCACAATTCACATAGGGGACCATTACAGTCTTGAATATCTCCTAGATGCCTATAGGGTGGCCCATTATAATCCTACGTTCAAATAGTCAATTTTAATGGACAACAGTCCGGGTACAAAATGGTATTCAGGCAAGTGAATGTCCCAAAAAAGTCACCAAATTCCAGGAGCCTCAATTTTCAACCAATATGTAGCATAATAGGGCTCTAAAACACCAATATATGCAGATCATAGACTTCAGCTCACCCAGCCTTCTGAGTTACGTGTGTCCATCGGCTACATCAGCAGGACTCCGTAGTGTTACAGTCTTTTCACTGCTCACCAGGTGGTGACATGTATGGCCATCACCACTGGTTAGGTCTCCAAATCATATAAATATATGGATAGTCCAGAGTAGCATGTAAGGCTCGGGTGGCGTATTAGCCCATTAGATAAATGGTGGTCAAAGCGAGACAGCCACTGTGCGTGGTGATGTCACGTACATCACATGCATGAGGATGTGGAATCCTACATGTTTCGCCCAATCAACTTGGGCTTCTTCAGGGATAGGCAGGGCCAGTCTAACTGATTTATTTATACCCTGTGGACTGTCAATAACCTACTTAGCCACAAGATGTCACCCATCCCGCAGATTTTTTGCTTGGCATTTACCAGCTGAGGGAGTGTGCCAACTATCTCAGCAATAGCCAGTGACTTAGTAAGTACATTCTTGTTCTCATTCTGCTCCAAACCTAGTAATGATCCTAGCCAGTGTCTTCAGATCCTCACCTGTTTCAGGGAAGGAAGGTGGATTTATTAGACTGTTTTTTCTTTTTGACCGTGTATTCTTTTCAGCTCTTCTAATCACTTTATGTGAATAGCCCCTGTCTCTAAATCTGACACATAATTTATCTGCTTGCCTTTTTAAATTTGTTATCCTCAGTACAGTTCGTACATGCCCGCAGAAACTGACCCACCGGAATGCCTTTTATTAGTGATTCCGGATGATGGCTGTCCGCCTTGAGTAAAGGTGTTTGCAGCAGTTTTATTTACGAAACGTACATGTCGCAATTCTTCCTTCTAAAATAGAAATCTGCAGGTCTGTGCTAGAACCTGTCTGTGTGTCTATTGCAGATTTTTCCTTAATTCCCATCTTGTTAAAACATTGTCAGTAGGACAGGAACTGAGGGTAAATTTCTCTGAGTCTCAGCAGTAAAAACCAGACAGGGGTTCTAATTATTCCCCACTCTTCCAAAGCTAGAAAGGTTTTTGGCTTGACTTACATTTTAAGGTTGTAAATGTAAAGGGGTTTGGGTCAATTTAATTTAAGTTGTTTATACAAGTTTTACAAACAAAAAAAGACAGATGGTTCCCACAGCACTTTGGCCTAGCTAAAGGGAAATTACAGCAGAAGCAACCTGTCCTGAGACAGGAATTTACTGAATAAGTTCTGTAAACAGGCTTTTTTTTTTACAACAGAGGGGCAACAAAAAAAAGACAAAACTTTCATTGAACCTAAAGCTCTGCCTGCTGACTCAAAAGGATATATCCAAATAATGTATATATACTGCCCAGTTACAATATGCCCAACAGGCATCACTGGGCTTTTTTCTGGCATTAGTGCAGTAAAGGCTTCTTTCTGGCAACTCGATCTGCAGCTCATTTTTGTTCAAGTATCGTCATATTGTGCTCCTTGATACAACCACCCTGTCTTTTTCCAGAGATGCCTGAGGTTACCTGTGGGTTTTCTTTTTATCCTGAACAATTCTTCTGACAATTGTGGCTTCAATCTTACTTGCTTTACCTGACCTTGGCTTGGTATCCAGAGATCCCCAAACTTTCCACTTCTTAACAAGTGATTGAACAGTACTGGCTGGCATATTCAAGGCTTGGATGTCTTTTTATATCCTTTTCCATCTTTTAAAAGATCCAATACCTTGTTACCAGGTCTAGCCTGCTCAGTGCATCCATATGAGCGCAAACAAACTCAAACAATAATTGCAATTTAAAAAGCCACAGGTCTGGAAAATTACCCTTTAATTGCCATTTTAAACTGTGTGTGTCACCTTGCGTGTCTGTACAAAGGCCAAATATTCCAGGTTATGTAAACTTTTGATCAGGAACATTTGGGTGTTTTCTGTTATCATTACGATTTAAAAAGGAACCAAAATGTGATAATAAATGACTTCATGTGATCACTATCCCTAAATAAAAGACAGTTTTTTTTTTGCATGATCAGTCATATTTTCAATATCAGTGGCAAAATGTCACAATTTCTGCCAGGGTGTGCAAACTTTTGAGCACAACTGTTTGCTATATATATATATATATATATATATATATATATATATTCCTTGCATGCCAATATAGAATGTGATAGATTTCATTTGGAATTCATTACTTCATTTTCCTGTTTTCAGTTGTTATAGACCACCATGTAAATCTCGACCGAAACGCTGTGACCCTGGTCTATTCTACAGTGAAGAAGTGTGTCGCTGTGTTCCTGCATATTGGAAAAGACCATAAACAAACTGATTCTACAATCAGAGGATATATTTAATCTGCTTCTGAACATAGAGAAGACTTTGTCCTGTTTTAAGTATTGGATCAACTTTTCCATTAAGAACCCTGTTCAGGGTAGAGACGGTGCAATTTGCATCAGGCAAGTCCAGATCTACACTTAAGGATCGTCCAAGATTTTTTATTTTCCCATTCTAAGGGCTTGAAAAGACATTTTTCTGCAATGATATGCAAGTCCATATTTTCCCTGTGATTTTTTTTATCAAGATAATGACTATATAATTTATTTCCACTAAAAATATTGTGCAGCCTCTTTGTTTATAGCAATATCAATGTAAAAGCGCACTGTGATTAATATTTTTTATATCATGTAAAATATGTTTAATAAAAAAAAGAACAGAAACTTGTACTATAAACCACCAAGTATGCCCAGTTGGACTCCTTTCTGCACCTCGAGAGTACATGTATGTAAAGCATTTTATTTTTTTTACTCTAAGCTGTGTGTTTTGGATATTGTAATTGAGAGACTTTAACCTTATGGAAGATTACCATCAGAATTGCACTGGTGTCATTTTTGCAGACCTTACAGCGCAACTCTACCATCCTAGCTTGTTCGATAGTGTAAGACAGAGACATGGAATAATCAAATATGTAAATAGTATTTTTGTATTTCGTACTTGTTATTTGTCTTTGTCTTTCACTCAGTCTATAGGCTCATTTCACTAAGATATAATGATCATTATTTGCCATGAAGGCTGTTATTTTCATTACAGTGAGAAAAGAACATATCAGTCCAATGGCTGAAATTAACTATTGCTATATCAAAAAATACATGGTATCATTTGGCAATTAAGTCTTATATGTCTACAGGGTGCAATGGTGTCTATTTTTTTTTCTGCACTAAACTTCCAGGTGTAGCGCAATGATTTAAAATATTTCAAAACGTCCAAAATATATATTTTTTACATTCTGCATGCATAGCTAAATGGTAGTGAAATCCAATTTTATCTTATGTAGCCTATTGGTACCTCTAGAACCTGCCAAAATATATTGAACAAGATATGTAATACGTATCTGGACCTGCTGTGCAAAATCATATTTGTCAGCAAGGTAGAATTGCTTCTTGGACTGGGCCTGCACTTTAGTTTAAATTCAGGCCTAAAGACAGATACCACATACTATTACCTTTAGTCAGAAAAAGCTCTTCTGGTCCTATCTTTGATTACGTTTTACTTTGATACTGAGGCCTGACTCTGCCCTTAATTTGCCTATTGAGAATGCCACCAGCTATCATCAGGAGGATGAAGTTTGGTAAAGCATAGCCACAAAGTTATGGGAAGGTAAATCCCTTAGTAAAACCTAATCAAAGATAGGCCAAGAAAACTTTAATTAAATTTTATAGAAATAGAACACTCATAAAAGTGTGGAAATACAGCCAATAATATAGTGTTTATAAAAGCATAAATGCAGGTATAATAAAATAGGAAAACATGAGACTGCCCATTGGATTCACTCCTTCATGAGATAAGGACATGGAAATATAGATGTAAAGGTTTGTCAATGACTATAACACAAATAACAGATACTAAAATGACACAGTTTTATTTTATAATCCTTAAAAATGCACGCAAACATAAACCTATATCAATGTTTTAAACAATATCCCTGGAATTCATAAAAAGAGCTTCAGGACCAAACATAGAATAAAGGTGTCCAAAAAGCACATAGCTCACTGGGGCGACCATGCACGATAGGCTCAACGTATCCTTAACATGTCATAATTTAGAGGACATGTGGTCAAATGCAAGCACAAGGTCAGGGGAAGGCAGATCCCAATATCAAGGTAAAACTTAAAGATGGACAGATAAAAAGCTTATCTGATTAATAAAAATAAAAGTATCACTCTCATGGTATCTGCTCTTAGGCAAGACTTATAGAATACAGTTACTTGGATTTATTTCTGTAGATTGTTGAATTCTTGTTTCTTAAAGCCCAACTCAGAGAAAAGTAAAAGTCCTCCATTGCAGTGTGGATGTGCCAAAACTGCAGAGGTTAAAGGCTTGTTTAACCTTGGGGATGGTAGAAGAATTTGCCTTACTTGATCCTCTGCTGCCCCAGCAAATGGTACTTCCCTACACTCTGGCAGTGGAACTGTCCCTCAGCATCCTTATGTCCAAAGCAGGGCTATTGTCCCTGCATTGGTCTTAATGATGTGCGGGGCATCTCACCTCCTGAGTGCAAGGGAGAAGAGGCTGCAGGGGCTTTGCAACAAAAAGGAGCCTGTGGGAGTGTAGAATCTGGTAAGTAAAACTGCTTTATTGAGTTCCCTAGAGTTAGGCATAAATAATCAGTTATTCCTTGCCTTGTGGAGGCAGCCCCACTGCAACGTAGGACTTTTACCTTTTCTGTTCAGCATGAACAATTTAGGTTTCCAAATACCTAGATAAATTACAAGGATCACTATGAATCTAACAGCTAAACGCTTAGCTGCAAATCTTTTTATTCCCAATACTTTCCCAAAATATGAAATTCAGTATTATCTTATGTGTTTGAAGTAGTACGTACAGTATGTAGTTGACCTAGATTGGTCTAATGTCTTTATCTGAGTCATTTGAGGCTTCAGATGTTTCTATTTAGATGGACAATTGAGTATTTTCTTCTTTTAATTTAAATACACTAGTCACAGATGTTTAGGGCTATTGTGCTACACTCTTCTGTAAATTCTAATCAGCAGTCTGAATTAGCAGTTTTTTTTTCTAGGGTTCTTTTTACTGCTTGCACTACATAGTACTCATGCAATAGCCATATTTACTTACATGCAATTTATGATTGAGGGTCTATTTAAAGGTTCTCTTAAAGGATCTTTGAAAGTAAATATAGGGTTACAATATAATTATAACTGAAATATCAAATTCAACACAAATGAATCCACATTAAAAAGATCCCATATGTGGACTGTGAGCAGCGCTGCACGTGTGCCTATGCACGCAATAGGGAACAATGGTCATGCCCACCATCTTCTTTGAGCAGGCTGTGTATGCACAGTGCTGGGGAGGCTTCTAGTTTCAGGAAGCACATGAACATTCTCTGGTCATAGGCATCTGAAAAAGTCTTCAGTTGAGGTATAATATTCACCAGTTTGCTTCATTAGAAGAGAAGGTGAGAGAAATACGCATTTTTATTAAAGCACACAGATGTTCACTTATTTGATGCAAATTCAACTCTCAGTCCTAACCTGTAGCACATCAACAATAGCAAGATATTGTATGTCTTCGCAAGAGTGTTTGATGATTACATAAAGTCTTTGTATCACTACCACTGCCATGCAGACAAGCCGCTAAAGTACCAAACAACTAGATCGTTCATTCAGCCATATGCATTCACAGACAAATCCAGATATAAAAATCACAGCCACTGGGACCTAGTTCATAACCTAAAGTTGGCCCTAAAATATCGTGAACGAAGAACTTTTGACTGTCAAGTTTAGACATTAAACTTCTAAATTTAAAAAAATTAATAAAAGTCACTTTTAGAGGATGAACCAACAGAAACAGGGATGTGAAGAAGAGGTTAATGCTGCTGTGTTACATAAAGAATATGATGTATGTACCCCCCCCCCTCTATTATACAGCGCTGAGCAAACCCTTTGGCGCTATATAAACTCGATGTAATAATAATAATAATAATAATGTACGCAACTGATAAATAATAGGGAGGACACCTTTACTTCTATACATTTTATTGGAATCCTGGTATGTAATCTGGTTCTTTGACTGGAGACTGTTTGCAACCAATAAACAAGAGACAACTTCCTAGGAATATCATACTCATTACTTTTTAGACCCTTTGCAAGTGAGTTTGCCTCTGAGCTTAGTGATAAGGTGAAATGTGGATATACATACACTTTATTGGATAAGTTCACCTTTTAACAAAAAATAATAAATGCACATTTTTTTGCAGGTAAAAAAATGTGCATTTATTATTTTTTGTTTCTTGAGCCTCTAAAGCATGGTACCAGCAATCATAAGATTCAAGACTCAATGAACTACTACGGCGTTCCACAGCACCTTGGTAGTTGATTGAGAACTACAAGCCGACAGCTGCAAAGGCTGTCAGAACTTGTAGTGTTCTCTATCACAAAATACTGTGAATGAATGAGGTGACAGGGCGGGCAGAGCCCCACACGACCACATTTTTAAAAAAATTGTGACAACTAGCAGGATGGAGAAGATCCCCTATTCGCTGTCACAACAGGGAGCAGGGAGGAGCTGGGGCCGGTCCATTCGTAACATGTTACAAGTTACACCCTGTATATGTAACGTGTTACAAAAGGTGAACTTATCCTTTAAAATTTTTTTTTTTTTTCTTTTTTTTTTTTTTCTTTTGGACTGAGCAAGGGATAGTTTGAACTCCTGCCAGTTTTCTTCATCACTGCTTTCAGTGAAACACAAAATGATAGGAAATTCAAAAACAATCACTGAAGATAATATTTTCAATGTGAACTCCTGTTCCAGTGACAGCTGTCTAAGAGGGGACTTCCCTACTATAGAGAGATTTCCTCTCACTTCCTTATGTGTCCTCAGGGAAGGATGTGAAAGCTCCTCATTAGAATACACACAATGTAAAAATACAATGGTAGCTGCTGAAATATGGCAAAAAAAATTAAATATTGTTAAGATTTGAGCAGCATAAACCTGCAGCAAAATCCTGTTTTATTTAAAGGATAAGTTCATCATTAAAAAAAAGCACACTCTGACAGGCAGTTACACTTAACAGCACCGTGGTAGTTCATGGAGAACTACAAGATTACAGCCACAAAGGATGATGGTACTTGTAGTTGATTCATTCACAGAAATCTGTGAATGAATGACGTGGCCATGTGGTCAGAGCCCCGCATGGCTGCGGTCTTCTCAAAAAGTGACAGCAGTATGGGGATCTTCTCCCTGCACTGCTGTCACAGGGAAAGGGGGGATCGGCAAGCGGCTGCAGCAGTGGGGAACTTGTTC